AAAATAGAAGTAAACCACAGACTTTCCATGGTAGGATTTGTGTTTCTGTATCATATAAAAGAAACAACTAGTGTTACAAAGAGAAAAAAGAGACGTTTTCATATGAAAGAGAGGGTTGGGTAGCTCTTATTATTTGAATTGTGGTTCCTATAAGAGGCTTTCTCATCCCTTGAAAGAAGAACTTCAATTGTTTTGCCCCCGTTAGCAAAGAACAAACATTTTGGTGGGGATGCTGGAGTCTCCCCCCGGAGAGGTGGGGAGGGGGCAGGAACGACCGGCTGCGTCACAGCCACCACGGGCAAGCAGATGGCAACCAGCCCGCCAATTTAGGAGCCCACAAAGGCAGAAAAGGGAGGATTAATGCAGGCAGCACGATCGCTAGCACAATTCTAAGAGGAATAAGAAAAAAAAAATATTTAAGTGGAGGGCTAGGAGGAGACTAACAATCCTCCGCCGGATTTGCGGCATCACCCACTTCAAATGAAATCTGCTCGGCTTGGGAGATACAAAGTGGTGTTTCCCATCCTCAGCCGAACCGTTCGCCTTGCGTCCCTGAGCCGATGAATCCCCGCGCAACTTCTGTGATCAAAACGTAGCAATTTCAGTGATAAGCAAAAATAAACCCTCGATTCTCCTCCCAAGGCCGTGCTGGCTCCGCACAGCTAAGAGATATAAACCATGATATTCTTCACCAAAATAGGCAAGCAAAAATGTACCAAGTGGATACAGTCTATACACAATGCTTGCATTTTACTACAAGAATTTAAAGACATTTCTACATTGACTATTTTTAGTGAAGTGGGGGTGGTTTATTATTCGTTTTACATTTTTTACCTTTCCTAATGTATTTTGTGCATCAAAGCAGCTTTAGGGTTAGAGAGGTTTGGGGCAGGAGCAATCCAGCAGATAAAAATGTCAGTGGCGAGATACGACAAATTTATAGTAAATACCTGTCAAGTGCTATTTATCTAAATTATCCAGCTCTGGGATTCTCCAGAAATACTTCATCAACTAGGAGGCAGCTACAGTTTTAAGCCTGTATTTACATCAGAATCTGCTCTTTTTCTCTTTTTTTTTTTTTTTGGACACTTGTTCTTTACCCTAAAATGACCCCTTTGTAGCTCGGATCAAAGAGCTGGGAGTGTCAATACCAGTGTCTTCATGAACATGTGAAGAACCTCAAAGTAATTGGTAACCAATTAGCATAAAGCTAAAAAAACCCACCTAGCTAAGGCAAACCCTAAATGAGTACTAACAAGCAACAGCACTGGCTGAAGCAGGAGCTTAAGTGACTGAAATCACCGTCAGCTGCCTTTGAGACAACTTCTCGGGAGCACCCCCTGTGCAAACCACTCTGACTTTTTTGGGGTTTGGTTGGTTTTCTTTTTTTTAAAAAAAAAATCCTTTCTGCTCTTCCTTCACTCTGTGCTTTCAGCCTTGCTACAGCTTACGGGAAACATGAAACAAAAACTGCTTTTCATTTTATGTTATGTAAAGCAAAGCAATTCTATGTCTTGGCCTGGAAATACAAGGCACCCAACAGCTGTTCAGATGCTCCAGCAGATAAACCATCTGGCCCAAACCTCACCTTTCCTAATTTATTTTGGATATCGATCAAAGCAACCCGAGCATTACATAGACTTTGGTCAAAGACAACATAAAAGATAAAACCGTCAATGGCAAAATCACTTCACTTGAAATATTCTCGTTTCTTCTTTATACAATAACATTACCATCTTCAACAAACTTCTCTACTAACTCAAGGAAAAGACAGAGCCGATACCAACAGCCTAGCAGCCTAACCACGCCGCAGATGAATGTCCTTAAATAGCACATCGCTGCTGAACAGAAACGAAGCGGGGTTTGGTGTTTACCATCAGCTAAAACCAGACACGGGTTTTGGCCAAGTGACCGAGGAGACCAGGACGGGCCCCGAGACTCGCGTGTCCTGGCTCTGCCGCCGGCTCCCCACCTTCCCCCTTTTACATCATGCTCCTGGCCTCTGCAGAACCACCGTATCCATGGGTCCAGCTAATCTTTTTTCTAATTGTCCCAGGAAAATGACAAGTGCACTTTTGCCTAATATTACCAGGATTCCCGCTGAGACACCGGGGTTGTTTAGCGGTTACCGGTTCGTACCAACTTGAAGCCAAACCTGTCATCTGAAAAGCCTTTTTTCATGCAATTCGGAGTATATTTGCTGCATGCAGAAACCACAGGCACGGCCAGGGCTTGCTGTTCTAGGCACCGCTTAGGGACATAAACTCAAATTATGAAATCCAAGGGTTATTTGAGCAAAGAAGGGTTATCCGCGCGTACAACTCCAAGCATAACACACAAATACGCTCTTGCGATGTTTTGTTCGATATCTGCAGATATTCAAAGCCTCCCCTACGCCCAGTTCTTCCTCAAGACACCGTCAGAGCCGGCCCGTTTCTCACAAGAAAAGGAATCGCCGATGAATAGTCCCATAAAGCATCCCACCAGAGCCCGTCCTTCCCCGGAGCCGCCACCACGCCAAGGTCCAACTCTCAATTAACCCCCGCCTGACCTTCCTTCACTTTCTTTCCCCCTCCTCTGCCCTTCCTGAGAAAGTTCAGCGTTTCCTGGAAAAGTCTCCTTGCCTGTTTGATATTGTACTTCGCCTTGGTTGCTGAAGGAAGGATTTACAGGTGCCTGGCCCCCTCTGTAAGACCATGACCGCAGGCTGACCTCCCGTTACAATATGTGAACTTCTGCCCTGCTGATAAGGCTGGCAGATATGAGTAGGATTTTTCAAATAATCCTTTGGGAATTTATAAGCAGCACAGCCATAAAACCGAGGTGACTGGAAGGTCGATTTCACTAAAAATAATAAATATCTCAATGTTTATTCAACGTGGGCCTTTTTAACTGCAGGCCAAGCGTTTAGATAACGCTATTGTAAATGACAAATATTAGGATTTTTTGGTAACTATTACATTATGATCCTTCCGCCTGACACTGATGTGGCCGTTTCCCTCGACGCTTGCTGGATCTCTGACATTGTTCAACCCAAGCTGGGCCTAGAAAGCCAGGGTAGGATTCAATCACAGGTCAGAAAAAGGGCAATTTTCTTTTCAGGAGCCTTTACTACGGTTGGGTACCTTTTTCTCTCGCTCCTGTCTCACCAACACACCTTCTTTAGAGCTCTGCTGTGTATTTTTTTTTCTCATTACTAGGGCTTTGGGCTGAAATAGAGAAGGAGTAGGGGGAGGAGGACTGAATGATCTCAGCTCCGATGGGGACAGAGGACTCCAACCCACTGGCATGAAACCCCTGCACCAGGTTTAACCTCACCGTCACCAAGCCCACCGCCCTATTCCCACCTCCAGCAGAAGACAATCCCACCCAGATCCACCACAGAGCGCTGGCCATGAAACCTGTCCTCCAGCAGCAGCATTTCCCTAATGCGCTTCAGGGGACCAGTTGCTATTTCAGATTAAAAAGTAAAGCAACAAGACAACAACAACGCCCCGAAGTAGAAACGAGACCATTTCAAACGTGCAAAACTGTTATATCCACCAGCGAAAGCTCTTCATCCTTTTCCTAACAGCTTTACATATAAATACACAATTAAATAAATACCCTTGCATTAAACAAATGCACCTAAGCTACACAAATAGGATTCCTAATCCTGTTTTCATTATACACACTCTTCACTGAAGTTTCTCCAAATAAAGTGACACTTTGAAATCCACAAAGCATCTCAGACCAGTTGTAATCTTCAATTAGCACACTCCCTCAACCGGGCTCCCAACGCTGGGTTTGAGGAGGAGGTTTTTGTCCAAGATAAACAGAGTAACACATTTTGGGTAGGTTAACTTTTTCATTCCAATAAAATATCACGGCAATGTAGCCAAATTACATAATTATTAACAGATGAGGGCAGAAAAAGATTTTATATAAGTGTTTTTTATGACAATTCTTTTCCTTTCGCAAATTCATTTGTATGTATTGCTGGAGAAACTGGCTTTAGAAGTGCCTTAAAAACAATTCTCTCTCAAGCCTGGCTCCGCCGTGGAAAGGGAGGAAAGCTGCAAACAGAGTGCTCCTTTCATCTGCTGCCTGGGCTTCAGATTGCTCAACCGCAGGAGAAGAGCCCTCCGAAAGCTCCCTCTCTCCAAAGGACCTTGAAGAATGGACGCAAGCAACGCAGGTTCTTTGGGTCTGCAGATGCAAGGCTCCTACGCTGCTGGAGGCATCTCAGAAATTAAAAGGTGAAGGGTAAGCTACAAAGGGCATCTTACCTGCCCTCGTTATAAATAAATAAATTTAAAAAAAAAAATCAATGCCTTGTGTACTTATAACGCCTGGGAGAAAATGCAGCTCATCCAGCAGCCTGCATCCACAGAGACGGGAGCTCTCGTGAAAAGTTCTCAAGAACGTGACGCTGCTCAGAGTAACACATTTAAGCCAATAACCAAACACCACCACAGAACAGTTTCAGTTTGGCCGCGTTTTTCAGTGCATGCAAAGCCTATCGGGAAACTGGGAGTGATACAGTCAGATGGTGGATTTGGTGGGACAGCAGCAAATCTGCTCCTGTCAAACAATGTTTGAAGAGCGGCAAAGTTCTCCTAAGTGCAGCAAAACAATACATTTAAAACCAATTTCCCCCCCGCAACTCCTCCACTTCCACTGAATAACGAAGCTACTGTGGTCAAAGAAGAATTCTTGGAGGAATACTATATGACCAAGAAATACATCTAATATAAACCCAGGGTCTGCAATAGTTGGAGAAAATATCCCTATATTTCTGTGGCCTGCATGAAGTAACTGTGCGGTTTTTACCCAAATCCATCCACCACCGGCCTATTTTCTACTTCAGGTAACACAATTCCTAGCCAGCTGAGCATTAATAAATGTTTTGCAACCTCCTCCTTCCAGCAGCATCGACGGAAGGAGCAGCACCCCATCGTCGTCTTTAAAGCACAGCCCAGTCTCAGCACCACTCTCACGGGCAACAGAGTGTTACTCACCAAGACAGAGTATATGTGCAGGCATCGGTACACCGGTGAGAAGTCCACCAGGTCCTGGGCTCCAGGCACCTAAAAGACAGCAGAAGATCAGTGTGAAACATGCACTTACAGATATAGGTAAGCGCAACTCTAAAATATCCCCCATAAGCAAGTGTAACTCCAAATCACGCAAGTCCGACAGAGCGCGACACCAAGATTTCAGGTATGTACCAACTAGAGTGAATCCTGGTATCTACCTCTCTCTGTCGAGATTTACATTTCTTAAAGTTTCGCAAAGTAGGAAAACGCCATTTAATATTGTTCTCGCTCCATTTACGCTCCCCTAGGAAATCACGTTGCAGCATTTGGTCCTCTGTTAGCCAGCTCAGCAGAGATTTAATTTTGACCACAGGCTTAAACACAACTTCAAGCATCCTGGCACAAGCCATTCTGGTACTTATGAACCAAGGGGGGAGAATATTCTCTCGATTTCTAGTTTGGTTTCTTTAAAAGCACAAATCCTATTTGATTTTTTAATTTTTTTCCTTAAAAAACACACGCCACACAGACTCCACCACCTTTCAACAACACAGTGAGTCTTGCACAGGGACAAGGAAGCACATTTTTGAAGGGTGGAGGGATGGAGGGCGAGAGAAAAGATCAGAGAAAAAATTTGCATGCAAGAAGCTTGTGTCCTTTGGATATGTTCAACCCAACACAGTATTAAGCTTGTTGGCCAAGGCATAAAGCTAAGGCAACCGTCCTTCTTCCCCAAAATCCAGAGAGGAGGGGAGTGTTCTGTTGACATGTGGTGGAAAAAAGAGGAGAAAGATTTTAATTACACTTAAGAGGCATTTCTGCTAAAAAGGAGGTAGGATGAAGAAGAGAGATGTTTCTAGCTGGATGAGGGCATGCAAGCCTCAACTAACGCTGCCCAAAGCGCCTGGGGCCAGTGGTCCTCCTCATCTAAAGCAACGGCTTCAAGCAGGGGAGCGCAGAAGTTACGGGCTGGAAAGAGAAAACAGAGGATTTTGTTAAATAGCCTCCTATATAACGTGGAACTGGAGCTGTTAAAGAATCTCCTCCACGCAAAGAAACTCAGTCCTCAGCGCTACATAGGTTCTTGGTGAGAGCTGAAACAACGACAGAAGGTATGGAGACAGACAGAGCAGCAACACACGGCGTGAGAGCATCCCATCCCGCATCACCAGCATCGCTTCGACACCCCCAGAAACCTGACAGTCCCAAACTGGTGGTGCAGGGAGGGGAAGCAGCCGGCTCATGGGGAACAAGGCAGCAAAGGTATCATTGGGGTACAGCACGAGCCTGCTCATCCCTCTCGCTGGGCTTTCCTTCCCTCCCTTGCACCAAGCACTCCATCGTGCCGTTGGAGCGGCTCTTACAGACGGGCAAGGCTGGTTCACCAGGAAGGAGGAAGGTTTCCGAGCGAAGGACGGGGCTGGCATCGCCTGGGTGACCCTTTCCACGTTGAATCTGGCCGTTCAATGTGCCCCAGCAGAAGGGTTACAGCTGAGCCGAGAGCAAGCAGCTGTGAAACACAGCTCATCAGTCTCACATCTCTTGCTTTTACCTTTTATAAGCCTGTATTTGACAATTGCAAACACTAGGTAGCGGTTTTATTGTGTTAATGCCAATTTTATCATGCCTTCCTGGTCATTTATTTTCCATTTGCAGTCTCCCAGGCCTTCTAGCGCTCCCTAAACAGCTCCTAAATCCAGATTTCAGTTAGTCTGTGGACTCCTCGGGGTACAGATTTCGCCTTGCTGTATCCCTCCGGCATTCAGCGCAATTGGTCTCTGGTTGGTAAAACAGTAAACCACTTCTGGCTCAGAAATGCCCGACTGCAAAACTGCTGGTGGTCACTAAAGCAGACGGGGAAGTATCGGTATTCGCTCGACCCAGCCGTCCTCCGGCGACCACCATCAGCGTGGGGAAGCTCGACTGGATGGACCCGAGTCCACCCTCTGCTTTTCTAAGGGAGGAGAAATCTGTCATCCCTTCACAACATCATCAAAGCAGGCGATGTTTTCCTATGAATTTGAATTCAGGATCAAAGGGTTTTGCTCCTCTTGGATTTGGGGCACTAGTTGAACATGATCCACGGAGAAATATTTCTGATAAAGATTTGTGAAATCAGGATATTGCCAAAAACGGAGTTTACTCCCCCAGAGAAATTCTTTCAAAGCAGACTGCAACATTTTCACAGTCTCTGATCTTCTGTAAAAACTTTTAAGCCCACACACAATCACAAAAAAAATATGCTGGACTGTTCTGTAGAGTTAACATCTCTGAGACATTAAAAGCTTTAAAATTGCTAATCTAGGTAGAATGCTATCAGACATGGAAGCCCAAGTCCCGGGCCACAAGAAAGCTTTCTGTAAAGAGAAAGACATGTATCCAAAAATTGTGCTAGGATTTTATGCTGGATATAAATCTACAATATATTTTAAGGAAAAGAACACACCGCGTCTCCCACATATAGCCATAGCCCCACAGCACAAGAAAAAATAATCCTATCACTGAAATCTTTCCAGACTAACCAATATAGGCCTTTGAATATACAGAATATATGAAATTATCTCTGTGACTAGTTTAACATATTGCCCAATTTAAACATATCTAATATTTACATATTTAGATATTTATCTAATATTTAGATTATTAGACATCTGAAAATTCAGGCTCAGCACATCCCCTTCAGCAGTGACTCAATTTTCTTAGCCAAAGCTGCACCATCAGCGTTCAAAAAAATAAATACATCTTTGATTTTTGAAACTTGACGATGAAATGAGAACTAGAGCCGCCTCAACAACAGGACTGATTACTCCCCTGACATCTCCCCTTCAGCCTAATCTTTTTTTTTCTTTTGATTTGCAGCACAAAGAATTTATTCATCTTGTCCAAAATTTTCCCAGTCCACAAAACATCAGCTTCACAAACCTCGTTCCCAAATCCTGCACCCGGCACGTTCCTGGTGCTGGGAGCAGAGGCAGACCTGTCAGTCTCTGTAAACAGCCAAACCCTCTCTCTTTGCAAGAACATTTTCCGTCGGGTTAAACACTGACTGTAGGAAATTTAACCCATGGAAGCCAAGTTTTCAATGGAAATGTTCAATTGTAGCTGCCACCAACATAAGGCTGGCCCAGAGTTAAGGGATGCTCTGGTCTGGCTTTAGATAACGTGTGATACAACGGCTTCAATCCTTGTTAGTTTTTGATGTAAAGACGTGACCAAGCACAGAGACACTTGCCCCTCTTTCAGTGAAACGGAAAAAAAGCCTCCAGAATTAGACCCCAGGAATTCAAGAGAGGTGTTTTATCAACCGTCTCACAGGCCCAGTGATTGGCGTACAGGGATGAGCAGCAGCACACACGACACCGCAGCCACAAAGGCTCAAGCCCAACGGAGGACACTGAGCAGGAAGAAGCATCTCTTCACCTGATGCACACATTGCAGAAAGTGTCTATTCACCTTACGGAGTAAAAATCTACTGCTGAAAGCAGTGTTGGTTCTGCACTGCCTTCAGCTCTGGGGTCCTCAGCACCAGAAGGACATGGACCTGTTGGAGCGAGTCCAGCGGTGGCCACGGAGATGATCCCAGGGCTGGAGCACCTCTGCTGTGAGGACAGGCTGAGAGAGTTGGGGTTGTTCAGTCTGGAGAAGAGAAGGCTCTGGGGACGCCTTATTGCGGCCCTTCAATACTTCAAGGGGGCTTATAAGAAACATGGGGACAGATTTTTTAAGGAGGGTCTGTAGCAACAGGACAAGGGGTAATGGTTTTGAACTAAAAGAGGGTAGATTCAGACTAGGCTTAAGGAAGGAACTTTTTATGATGAGGGTGGTGAGGCACTGGCACAGGTTGCTCAGAGAGGTGGTCGATGTCCCATCCCTGGAAACATTCACGGGCAGGTTGGACGGGGCTCTGAGCAACCTGATCGAGTGGAAGATGTACCTGGTCATAGGCAGGGGGTTGGAACTAGATGGTCTTTAAAGGTCCCTTCCAACCCAAACCATTCTGTGATTCTGTGATTCAACAAATCACACCCAATCTCTTTGGGTACCAGCAGCCAGGAAGCACTTTATCCCATGCCGACTGGAGGTACAGGACAAACTGTGCTGTAGATTTGCTACATCTTGTGTGGTCTCCGCGTCTTTTGACTGCCCCAGTGTGTCCCACGGCTTAACCTTTGGGGGAAAAAACTGAATGCATTCGTACGGTCAAGAAGATGCTCAGGATACTGGAATACTGGAAGTGGCCAGATGGTCCTGCAGACTAACTGATTATCACTCTGGCTCACGTTATAGACAACAGGCAGACAGCTGTGTCTGGAAATAGAGAGGTTTTTCTCAGTTTCCAAGATGTTTCTTGCATAATTACTAGTGGAAGCAAAAAACAAAAAAAAAATTTAAAGGCGGAGGCTGATGGCATCTAACGAAGCCATTTATCAGGGAAAGTCAGGAGAGGTCTCTGGGTTCCCTGCTCCAGCTCCCAAAACTTTGTAAGAAATCTGTTACACTCACTTAGAGAACTACAACTTATTCCTACAGCCTGAAGGAATGCCAGAAACATGATGAATTTTGGCTACACCTCACACCTGCTGACGTCCTGAGTGCCAAACTCCTTCTCCAAATAGAAAACTGTCTGGAATTTGTTGATTTGTTCTTCAAAGACAGTCGAGTGGTCGTTATTCTGAAGCGTGATGTCTGTCCTTAGGACGTTCCCTCTCTCACAAAGGAGCACCAGGGAGACCAATTCGACCCAACCACTTCACACACAGACACCTGACCAGTATTTTGTGGGGACAAGACAAAATGAGGCACAACACAGGCAAAGTCTGTCCTGTTGTATTCAACAAGATCGCAAAAGAAAAGAAGAAAAGTCACTGAAAATGAGAAGAATCTGGGTGAGCTTTGTAGTTTTTTTGGATGCTTTTTACTACAAAGGGAACAGCTGGCACAAACTGCACAGACTGTGGAGCTACTCACTGTGAAATGCAAATTCTCCTTCTGCAACTTGACATTCATCAAAACGGGATTTGAGCCTTTTCCCAGCTCCCTTTACAGTTGTG